GGTTAGTTAGAATTTTTTAATCGTAATTTTTATATTTGTACATTCTAAAGGTGTGTTTGCAGTATTTCGCTGCTTTACATTATGTTGACCTTGGAGTTGAACTTGATTAAATGTTCTAGTATATAGCAGAGAAAAAGTTTACACACCCCAAATTTTAATGTCATATTGATATATAGGACTACAAGATTGAGCAACGTGATTGCTTGTATGCTGGTAGCATGTCAGAGTATAATACATGTATGTCTACTCTTTGTATTGGTGAGACAGTCAGCTAAAGATATAAATAGCCCACTAAATTGAGGGCGCATATGCTTATGCTTATTGAGTTCAAAGAGCTTACAAACAGCCAAACCTCTACCATGAGTTTGCATATGGGAGTAGCTTTGTTGTAGTAGGTAGAGTTGCACATACACTCTGGTTGAACTAAAGTGGCCTATAAGTATTTTATATGAGAAGACCCTTATTCTATTAAGAAATACACATGTACATACATTCATGTACAGTGTATGTGTGATAATCAGAATATCTCTCTCTCACTGTAAGAGCAACATTGGAAATAATTATACCCTTTTGGTATAAGTTATGTATGAATGTATGTGTCTATAGTTCCAATATAAGTACAGGATGATGGTTGAATTAATAATTAATTCTTCATTGTTAATTTTATATTATGAGAAAGTGTGCCTGCATGATTACCAGCTGTTATGTGTACATGTACATAAGCACAATGTACATGTAGCAGATTGAGACATGGGATAGCAATAATGGGACAGCTTTCATTTTGTGCAATCCCCCTCTCAGAAGCCTCCAACTCATTAAGTCAGTCTCTCTCTCTCTCTAACTTCGTTAATTTTTGACTAATTGTACATGTGTCCTTGATTTATTGTATGTGTATTGTGTATATATCTCATATGTTTTATGAAACTAGATGTAGCTTCTATTGATTGCTCTTGTGTCATTAATTAATTTTTGCTTTTGTGGTCCAATACTATCAAAATAGAATACATAATAAGTTGCCCACTTGTGTGCTGATAGAGCATGTTCACATGGAGTGGAGGATAGAAGGAAGCATACGTGTATCCTTTATTATATAGGCGGCAGCCTATAAGTAGGATTGAGGTTGGTTTTTCAAGATGGCGGCCATTTTTAAGATTTTTAAACACTTATAACTCTTTTATCTTACGTTGTACAGCCTTATATACGGCTTAGATGAGCTCTCCTTCACTGAGTGATTCTCCTGGTACCTTTAAAGTGGACTGTAATGTAGCGGGAGCAATTCTGGTGAATAGGCCCAAATTCAAATTTCTGCAAAATTCTTCAGACTTTTTCTTCTTTCATCTTCTATGCACCCGTTAATCTTTTAAGCTAGAGAAGTGCTCGAGTTGGCTTTTACATTATTCTTCTACGCTTGGGTCAAGGACCACAAAGGAAGTTTCAAAAAGAAGCTATGACAGAGAAGAAATGGCAGACAAAATTCAGCTGCAGACACCGCGTGGGTTTCTGGTTTGACGCCATTTTAATTTATGCGCACGTGATCAGCATGAATATAATTAACCTAACCACACAATCTTAACAGAATGTAATTTATTAATTTAAGAAAAAAAATGGAAACAAGTAAGTAAAAAACATTAAAAATGGAAAAGTAGTAAGATTGAATTGGAAAAAAGTAAAGAAACATGAGGGTACTTACAAACTGGTTTGGTAAAAAAATCCTGCACCACTGCATGAAGAATATAATCCAAAGCATTGCAATTATTCCACACAGACTGGCTGGTATAATAACACTTTGTAGACTTTATCTATTTGCAGTGGTGTA